TTAATCAAGTAGCTCAAGGTCCACTGAACTTAGTCAGTGGGGTGCTGATGGTATGTGGGCTATTACTCAACTCTCCTTCGAATGAAAAAGAAGTCAAAAGAAGAAAAATGGGCCCCACTTGGGCTCTTTAATCTTAGAGCAAAGGGAAAGCTCATTCACTTAGAAAGTCAATTAAATGCCACTCTCCCCTGTTACCTTACTGGGAACTTAAGTTTTTTTTTGAAGGCAACAGCATGAGCCAGAAGTGGGCCTAGTAAGAGCCTGATGGATGTTGAGAGTGTCCTCAGAGCAGTTCCTGCAAAACACCTACACCTATTTCCCTTAAGACAGACTATTAATATGTGTTTTCTGAGAGGAGGGACCAGACTGAAATATCATATTACTATTTACAGACTGGTTACTGTGCTGCCAGGTTCCCATTTTTTTATGTGCCTGCCAGTACCTTGCAAGAGATCACTGTAGGAGAACCTCGCTAACGCACATACCCAGACACACACATGGACATGCTCAGGAGCTGTCCTCTCCTTGCTAATCAGCAGACATTGAGCTGTGGTCCTGCATTCCTTGTGGATTCAGCTTCCCAGAGAGAGGCAGACCTTAGTGAAATGAGCAAGAAAGTTAAATTTTGGTTCTCTGATTTGTGATTTCATATAATACAAGAATAAGAGTGCTTAAATGAACAAAATAGACTTGAAAAGGAATAATTTCAACAGTGTGGTAATTAACTGGAGGAACTCACTTCCATAGGACAGCATGGAGGCCAACTAAAAATAAATAAGCTAGATCTTTGAAGGACATGAGAATTATCTGCCACATTATATAATTTAATATGGGATAAAAAGGTAAAGCCATAGATTATTATGTCTTTAGGTAATAGGCAAATACATATTTTATTTGTATTTATATGTATTTTATATGTAGAAATGGCTAATGAGGATTATGTTAAAAATCTTCTCCCTCAGGCTTATTTCTTTGTAATAATCCAACACAGGTCCTTCATCTTCATTCAAATCATCTCTAACTTGCCACTTGGCAGAGACGCAGTAGTGGACAAGATGGACCACAGGGGAGATCTGCTCTGGCCAGTCCTACATTTCCAATTCACTTCACTGGTCTCAGCAGCAGTAAGAGAAGGCACTTTTCATTCACTCTAAGGTTTCCTTTATTGCATTTTTGCCTTGCAGAGAGACCTTGACTTGTAAGCTTGAATTTATGTTCTATTTAATGGCCTTTTTCATTACCAAAGCAATATAAAGAGAGCTTTAGAGAAAGTGAGAATCAAGCTCAAGGAATGCAGGACATTGCATGCTTCAACAAAAGGATGTGTGCTACAGTCTGCATTTTCTCATCTGAATCATTTCATCAGGAGTTTTGAAGCAAGCCTTTCAAGCATACTGAGATAGATTCTCTCAAACATTGTCAGCAGCAGTTTCCAGATCACTGTGCAAAGGCATATTGTAGCAATATATGAAGCTTGAGTATACCTGTAACATTCAGATACTATAGTTGTTTCCAAGTAGCAAATAAGTATTTCAAAGATGGAAGAATTGCCAAAGAGAATCTAACATTTTAAAAGATAAAGGGGACTAGGTTTGAGCTTCTAAACTCAGAGTGACCTGACAAGCAGTTTCAGCTACATTAGCAGTTGTGTTGCAAGTTGCTCCACGTTTTACAAGATCAAGTCTGGAAGTCCAACAAAATCAGTTTATATTATAGGCAGTCATTTGTGAAGACCTAGGCCTAAATTCTTTGACAAGCACTTTAGAATTCAATCTAAATGAATTAGCTTTAAGTACTATGTTTATTTTTTAAAATTGGCATCGTTCATTCATTCATTCATTCATTCATTCATTCATTCACAACTTATCTTTAATTCACTTCAAATTTATTAGACCTTATAAAAATTTGCATTTCAAAGATAATGCTTTGATTTAGGGAAGGATGAAAACTGAAGGATGAAAATTTGGATGGTATTTGAATTTTGGTGGATGTAGACCCTGATTCTTATTTCCTATTTACTGGCATATCTCCTCTGGTATCATAAGTATATTCCAGAATATGCTACATCTTGAATACATTTCACCAGGTTTACAATGGCAAATTAAACAGCTTTTCCCCAGACCTCAGATGACAAATGAGCAGCTACATATTTGTAAGATGGGCAAAATTTTTCACTAGTTCCTGATACAGAAGAATATTCTTCCATACTAAAGATCTCACAAAAACCCCTCCTTTCCCCAGAGAAAAACCTTCAATCCTTTTGTCTAGGTTCGCCTTCCCAATTTTCTTCCACACCCAGGTCTCCAGAACCTTTATTTTATGTATAGATTTAGTGTGTCTAAATGGCATATATCAGTTCTCCCTCTCTGTGTCTTCAGCTTTCTTTTCATGTCTTGATTTACATGCTAGCATTGCGTTTACCAGTGTGGTTATTAGAACAGTATTTGTTAACTCGTGCTCCTTCTCCAGCCCCTTGAATTACCCAAACAAGTTGGTAACAAGGAAAGACAATACCATATAAAAGACTCAATTGCTCTGGCACTCACCTCAAAGTCTCCCTATGCTGTGTATTGCAGCCAAGAATCTGGGCTTCAGCATTTAGGGATGTGCTGAGCAATACCTGGCAGGGTACAGAAAGATTCTGAGGCTGAACCACCTGTCAGGTTTCTATTCCCAAATAAATGGTAATGGAATAGGCATAAAACATATGGATGAAGTTACCTGTACTGAATCACAGACATCAGATAGAGAAGTCGTAGGTGTAGAGAACATGCAAAATTGTATATGAAGATTTACCAAGTCAATATTCAGAAAGATGTCCAAAAGAATGTCTCATGTGAAATGATCAGTGTTCACAAGCAAAAAGTTTTGTAAACTTAAGAAAGCTTAATTTAAATATAGACACAAGTAAAACCTAAACTAGCAAGTTTTCTTTTTTTTTCTTTTTGCATATTTTTGTTAGGTGCTTCTTCTCTGCCTAAAATATGAAGTCCAGAGTGCAGTTGGTTTAAGTCCTCACATTGATTTCAAGCAAGACAAAGATAGTGTCAAACACTGATCCAACTGAACTAAGGACCCATGTACTTTGGGAGTTGGCTTTGGGGGAAAAATTCTTACACAGATACACAGGAGACAACTAGGGAGAACACCAGTCCAGACACAGTAAAACAAAATACAAAACGCCAACATATATATGCAGATCAGGAATCAATCTTTCACACTGATCCTACATTCCTTTCATAGCTTTGTCTATGCAGAGAATGTGGGATGTGGCCCTTCAGTCAGACTTTTTGCAAATGAAGGGAAGATTATTTGCAATGGTAACGTTTTAAGTTGTTTTGGCATCAGCACAAATTATCAGGGGCAGGATCAGAATCCCACACAAATATGGAAGCTCCCTAGTGAGCAAGGCAGGGATGAGAGAACAATACAGCAGATTAATTCTTGTCCAGTGACCAAAACGAAGGGAAATCCTAGTTATTACACACTTCCAAAACTTTCATTACTTTTTCAAAGAGGAAAGACTACAGTTTATATCATCCCCAAAACCAAGGGAATATTACTAGAAAAATCTTTCTCAAAGGAAGTGTCCTTCAGAAGAAATAAATTCTGAGATGGAACCAAAAAAGAAACAACAGAAGCTTGGTATGAGCTGAAAAGAGAACCATGTAATTAAAAAAAACCTAAGTAGCAGTTCAAATGATACTGCAGGATGCACAAACACTAGTAGATAATCTCACAGATGACTTCACAGAGCCCCTCATCGACCCAGGTAATTCTTGATTCCATTAGAAAACAGAGAGAATAATGCTAGAAAAGAAAATTAAGAAAACATCCTTCCTCTTTTTTAAAATAAAAATCAAGATCATCTCCCCTCCCCCCTCTATCTGGAAGCAGGTTAGCTAACCTTAACAGTCTCAATTTAAAATAAAATATATATTTTTATATATATTCATATATATAATAAAAGAGAAGATATTAGTGGCAGTGTATGCAAAACAAAAAAGAAAGCAAAGAAAAATTACTTTTAACAATCTCACTTTTTTTGTTTTTTTACACAAATACTGTTGTAAATATATTAAAAAAATCAGCATTCTATCTGGTAAACGTCACTTTTGCCCCTCTATAAAATTTTGAATTTAAAAAGTCCCAACAACTCTTTTGTTTTAAATTATTATTCCCCTCCCACCCTCTATTCCTCTTTCTTCCACAAGAATAAATCCTGATGCAACTTTTTTTTTTTTTTGCAAAGATTGTGGGAACTAACCCTTCTCTTGTACCTAGATCCATAGGTTGCAACCTCTGACATCTTTGATTTTCCTCTGTGTTTCTCTTTGCCTTCTGTGAAAGTCCTTCTTGATTGTGCTGAGGCCCTGTGCTCAGCGAAGACACTGAATAAATTACAAAAAGCCACCGTTGCTCGTTGTCTGAATCTTCTTGGTTTCTGCTATAAGGTGGTGGTGGTGGTACGAGAAAAGCAGTGGGGAGGGTGCGCCAGACAGCGTGGGATGAAGCAGAATCCAGGTGAGGAACCTCTGAGTCTTCTTCCTCACCCTGCATTGACTCCACACTATCCAAGCCACACTGCCTCGCATTCCCCTCAGCCCTTTTGGTGTGTTTGTGGATGCATGTGTGTGAGAAAGCAGACACGTGGTGGAAACCAGCAGGGCCTTGTTTCCTCTGGTTGCTGCTCAACCAGAAGCAAAATATTCCACAGTTCTAACTGGATACTGTGAAGTCCAAAAGCGGTCAGCCATGTGAATTGTGTCCATTGAAACACTGCAAGCGGTGTACTTATAATGACAGTAGGCCTTGTAGATTTGTAATATATTTTGTTTTGTTTGTTTATTTGTAGTGCTCTTCACAAGTGAGAAAAAAGATTTTTTTTGTAAATTATTTTTCTGTCTGTTTTTTAAATTTTTTTGTGGTTTTTTTTGTTTTGTTTTTTTTTTTTTTTTTTTTTTTTTTTTTTTTTGTTGTTGTTGTTGTTGTTGTTGTTGTTGTTGTTTGCTTTTTGTAGTAAAGAAGGGTTGTATTTAGAGGCCAGTAGCTAGAGATCCAACCAGTGGAGCTCATGAAGCACTACCTGGCCTTAAGGCCACCATCCGAGGGAGGCTGGGAAAATTATTATTCACCCAGCCTCCGGAAATGTAATGTACCAGCAGGCAAAAAACAGTTCTTCATGTAGTACAAAAAACAACAAAACAAAATGAACCCAAAAAAAGGAGGAAAATAAAGGTAAAAATGAAATAAAAATAATTTCTTAAATTCTAGTGCCATAGCTTTTTTTGTTGTTTCTATTTTTGTTGTTCATAACAAAAAGAGAGAGATTCTACTTATCCGTCTGACACATGCATCCTCATGTGGTCGTTGAAATGCTCGATTTGGTCAAACTTAGCTGGACAGACAGAGCAGACATATGTGGTCCCCTCCGTGCAGGCCACCACACCAGCGGGGACAGCTCTCGTGCCGGTGCCAGTGGCTCCAGGCGTGCCGTTGGTGGCACTGTGCAGAGCCACATGCCTCTCCAGCAGGGTCTTGTGGGAGAACTTCTTCTTGCAGATGTAGCACTCGTAGGACTTCTCCCCGCGGTGGAGACGCATGTGCACATTAAGGGAGCTCTTCTGGGTGAAGCGTTTGTTGCAGATACTGCACTGGTAGGCCCTTACGCCAGTGTGTGTCACCATGTGTTTGATTAGGTAATCCTTTAAAGAGAAGGAGCGCCAACAGATGCTGCACTGGTGTGGTTTCTCACCTGCCCATTACCAAATAGAGAGAGAGAGAGAGAGAGAGAGAGAGAGAGAAACAGACAAAAAAAAATCATAAAATTAAACCAGTTTGGTAGAACTCTTTGCAATGAACTAATGGTAAGTCTCATGGGGGTCTCTGGAGAGGTGCTCTGGCTAACTCTCAACAGACTAAGTCTGTTAATCAATGTCTTTTGACACACAACATTTTTGCAACCAGAGGTTTCAAAATGCTTTACAAAGGGGGCTGCAGGAATTCCCTATCCACATACTGTAAAAAGGAGCTCAGATGATTTCTTCAAGTTCACATAGGTAGGCACTGACAAAGACAGGACTAGAGTCCTGACATCTACGCCCAGTTTCAATGGCACAGCCTCTCCTGTCTGTGTTCCTGTCTTGCTCCTCATGCTCATTTCTATACTGGAAGGTCTCAGCCACGCTACTTCACCTTTCAGTGCTTCCATTTCCTTACCAGCATGCAATAAAAACAGGGACAAAGCCAGTGATTACCAGACAGCTGACCTAGGCCAGACTCATTTCAGTCAAATTGCTTTCAATTTCTCAGGAGAGGAGTGATAGAGATTGTCAGAGGAATCCAACACTTCATAAGAGGCTTACATTTGTTGCTCCCTTTTCTGGTCAAATGTCATAGCTGAAGGATGTATCAAGAGTAGTGGAAAAGGCAATCTCAGGACACAGAATTGCCTAGGCCAGCTAGCACCATGCAAAGGGCAACCTAACAGATAAATTTCCAGTGTAAGACACAGGAAACTTGAATGATTTGACTGCCAGTTAAATAAAATACCTTATGAGGTAATCTAGACAGATAAAACACTTATGTAATCTTCCATATTGCCTTGTGTGCCCGGGACTGTTGTAAAACTAATGATGGAAACTCATATAATTGAACTCTGATCACGTTAAGATAAACCACTGACTACAAGGATGAATCGGGAAAAATACTTAGCTGAGCACATATACTTTTTTTCAGACTACTCTTAAATCCTCCTCATACTCAGAGTTCTGAAAGATAAGGCATAGTCTCATGTTTCAAGATATCAAGCAATGTTTTCATGATATGTTGCTGCACTGGTAGTGTAGACAACAACCGACACCCTGAATGCCCTATCAAAAGCTACTTTTTCATTTGCTTTCTGAATCACTTGGGGTATATTTCATGTGTGGAATTCATTGTTTCCAAAGCTGTGAAGGATAGAGATGGTACCATAGCTCTGTAAGAATCAAAATGATCCTCTGTTTCACTGATTGAGAAAATTATTTTCCCCTGGTTATTCTGCAATTTCCACTCTTTTTTTTTCTCCTCAGACATCCTGCTTCTCTCTTTTTACAGTCTGTTTGGCACTGTTTTAAATCCTGAAGAGTCAATCTTCAGGGACCAAGACATGCCTGTGGTAATATATAATTCTGTCATTGTATAGTGAGATTACCATATGCTACTTGTACTCAATTTTAAGAGGAAATAATTAAATGGATTAGATGTGAGACCTACTTTTTTATCTCCCTAAGTCTCTGTTTCTTTTTATTTCACGGTTTGCATGTACGATGGTGACATCCATGAATGAAATCCACTTGCTGCTCTTCCTGGCACTCGTGAGGAGTTTGTCCCTACTTGGTGAAAGACACTTGCTCAAAACACTAAGTCCTTACTCTCCTGATGGCTTTGCCACACACAGTGCTGTGTTGTGTGCAGACAGACCAATATGCTTGACATGTGATGTGGAAAATGATAGTGTGTCAGTTCGAATAAAGTCTGATTAAATTACAAGAGGCTGATTGCATTCATGAAGCTCATTTTTGCCTTGGGCAATATATGTCCCAGAGTTTGTAACAAGTTTATCTCCTCCACTCTAGACCCTGTTAAGATTGTGCTATAAAAACACCTTAATTTTTGCCTGCATATGTTTCTAAGATACACTGGGTTGTGGCTTTTTAATCTCAGCTTCAAAGCCTTCCTGGGATTTCTCTTCTCCAAAGAATTAGAAAACTTTAGTTTTTCTTTTTTGTATGCAGATTTTTGTGCTTTCTTAGTGAGCACAGTAGATTCTTTATTCCCGTGATTCTTCATTTTCAAATCAGAGAAAACTTTGCTCAGTGAATTAAATGTGCATATTCTTCCTTTTGCTTCTTCATTTTGTATTTGGCTGGTATTAGACAGCAATATGGGACGATTAGTATAATAGAATCATAGCATATCCTGAGTTGGAAGGGGGAAGAAGCAACATCAGTGTCTGGCCCCTTTTCCAGCCCCTGTGCTCCTGGTAATGTAGGCTCTGTGGCTCTTTGAACCCTAACCATAATGGATACTTGGTGCTGACACTGAGGTCATGGAATCACAGAATCCTGAGTTGGAAGGGACTCCCAAGGATCATCAAAGTCCATCTCCTGGTCCTTCACAGCACCATCCCAAGAATCACAACACGAGCCTGAGACCATTGTCCAAGAGAGTCTCAAACTCTGCCAGGTTTGGTGCTGTGACCACTTCCCTGGGGAACCTGTTCCAGTGCCCAACAACCCCAGCCAAAGGGGGAAGAACCTTTTCCTAATACCTAATCTAAATCTACCCCGAGACAAATTCATGCCATTCCCTTGTATCCCTATCACTGGACAAGAGAAGTCAGTTCCTGCCCCTGCACTTCTCCTCATGAGGAAGCTGTAAGTCACAATGTAGTCTCCCCTCAATCTCCTCTAGGCTGAACAACCCAAGTGACCTCAGCCACTCCTCAAATTACTTCCCCTCATCCTATCACCATCCTATAAGCAGATTAGAAAGGTGTGGAAGCAGCAATGTTAGTGCTCTGCTGTGATCCCTTTGGCATGTCTTTTGCAGCCTTTAATCCAGTATTAATCACAGTGTGATATGAGGGAAAAGCCAATGCTGCTTTATAAAGTGTAGACACTGCACTTTACACTTACACACTCCAGTACTTTATTTCCACAATATTGTGGGAGTCTACACAGAACATGGAAAAATAGCAATCTCTAATATGTTTGCACCTGTGTGAAAGAAGAAAAGGAGGTTGGTTTCTGTTGCATGAAAAGCTACATCAGACTGTAGTTTTCAGAAGCATAAAAACATACAAAAATATAGAGGCCTTTAAGCTACTGAATTCTGTTTTATAATTAGACTCTTCAATGACTTCTCTTGTGAGCCCTCCAAACAGAAAGATTAATTCAAACATTTGCATCTCCCAAACCTCTCGATTTATCTGTGGATCTTTCCCAGAGCCACTTTTCCTGGCTTCTTTTTACAGGGCTAAGGAAAAGTCACCCTGACAATGGGAGCAGCTGTCTCCCCTCTATTTTTGTAATGATCCTGTCCAGCACTAGACAAGATAGCAGACAGACTTTCTGTGAGGCTGCAGACATAAAGATTATCTACAGGAGGGTTTTCTGAAGCCTAGCTCTCTGTTGGTTAAGGTGAAATTATTCTCCCAGAAGCCAGTTAGCTCCTAAATTAATTTTGAAATTATTTATCTACCCAAATCTTTCCTTGCCACCACAGTTCATTTTTTAGGGCATTCTTAGACCCACACAAATAAAATATTAATTCATGATTCAAGATGCCTATCATTTCCTTCACTGGTATTACTTGTAGTAGCTAAGATTGTTTAAGATCTGGTCTTCCAGTACTATTCTTTATCTGACTCTAAAACTGAAGTGCAGTGGTGGGGGAAATAAGTACCTAATCTCAGTGAAGTTGTTTGTAAAAAAAGTCTTTTTAGCTTTTTGAACAAGGATTCAAGTGTTCTGAAGGGGATATTTTTCTGAATACCAACACTATGTAGCATTTTAGCTACTTATCCAGAACAGAAAGATAGGGAACATAAACAGACACAAAGGTAATCTTGGGATTCAGGACTCTTGATCCCTGCAATTATACATTTTGTAGCAGTCCTGAGAAGTTGATCTTTTTGTATATGTACATGTACATGTCTGCCGTTGGTCTAAGAGGAACTGTTCATTCAAGCAATAAATACAGGTAAATTGAAGTTAAAAGTTTACGTATAGATATGAAATTGAAATCTATTGCATCCAACAGAGAGGCATGACCTACATTCCTCCCATACTTCGGGCAATTTCTCCAGGTTCTCCTCTGTGTATCACAAACCCAGCATTTATTTTAAGATCTGATGTTAACAAAGCCACTGCTTAGTGAAAGAAATATTTACTCTTTCTCTAAACTAGAATTTCTCTCCAACAGCAGAAGGAGCCAAGTGCTAAAGCAAGCAAAACAGTCCTGAACCCATGACAACTCCTCCACGTAAAATACATACATATCCTTGCTTTGAAGTCTCGTAATTTGGCAAATCTAGAAAAGGCAGTCTTGGCTCAATGGCAAATATGGTTACCTATATTATCTCAACAGAATATAAACCATGTACTAAAGCAGCTGCAGTTTTAAAAAGAAAGGTGCTGACGTTGTGTTCCACATATATTTTTAAAATATTTTCTCATTGAACCCTACGTTTCTGTACTCAGAGCTAGTGATACCTCTGACTTACCAAGAGACAAGGGATTACAGTAATCAACTTCAGTGAAGTACAGAAAGACTTTCTGACAAAACTCCAGATTTACTTTCTTAAAGTAGTATATAAGATCTAGAAAATAATGTGGCAGTGTGTCTAACATCCAGGCTCGGACTCCTGCTGCAGCCCAACCAGTAATGAATGTGCCCTAACCTCACCACTACTTGATCGTAAATCCCCCATAACTCTAAAACCTACAGGGGGATGCCCTTTCTTAGTAGATAATAGTTTTTCTTATGACCTTTTAGTTTCTTCTCTTCCACTTAATGTTGCCTGGTTATTTGCAGGGTACAATGAATGCTCACCATTTCCTTGGATGCATGAAAGACACATTTAACTCCAAATGAAATCAGCTTGTTTCTGTACCATGTACAGTTAAGCCCTTGTTTGGGATCTATGTGCTTCTGCAGGGACTCAGTTTCAGTGCAGTAAGGCCAGGAAGTGTTCAGTGACATCAGCTCCCTGGACAACCCCTCCCTCCTGTTTGCGCTGGGGGATGGCAGGTTCGCAAACAGAATCTAGGTCCATGGTTGTGAAGGACTTTCTGTGGCTCCATATGCAAGCCAAAGGGAAGTACTCTTACCTGTGTGTACAAACATGTGCTTGACGTAGTTCTGTTTGGCGGTGAAAGTCTTGTTACAGAGAGTGCACTCGTAAGGCTTTTTTTCGCCTTGCCCACCCGCTGTGCTGTGGCCTGCAGACGGGGCCAAGGGCTGTGGGGCTGGCAGCTGGGCAGTAAAGGTTGACAGGCCGGGTTGGGACACTGTCACAAACTGTGTCTGTTGGCCAGCTAAAGGCTGGGGCAGGCTGAAGAGAAAAGGCTTAGGGCCACTGCCAGCAGACTGCGTGGTGAAAAGGGCAGGCAGGTAGGTATTGCCAGCTGTGCCAATGACCTGAGTGTTGCTGGTCAGAGTCAGTGGCATCCTCAGATTGCTGGTGAGGGTTTCTGTCTGGCGTAAGTAGATCTGTGTGGTTGGCAATGGTTGGGCAACAGATGTGTTGACAGAAGGCTGCAAAGCCCCCTTTTCGGTGCTGTTATTGACTGTGAGCACTTTGCTGTCCATTTCAACGTCATTGCTTCTCTCTGGTGAGGAAGAATTGGCATCTACATGTTGCTGCTGCTGCTGAGTGCCATCAGCAGGGACATCATTTTGATCTGCTTGAGAAGGTTCTTGCTGTCCTTCCCGGCCCAGACCAGCCATAAACTGCTGCTCCATTGAATCAGGCTCAGTGCCAATGGAGGAACTGACACCCGAGTCAAAACTCTCCCCTTTGGGCTCGCTCTCAGTGCCTTCTGCTTGGTCAGTGTCCTCAGTGCATTCCTCAGACTCATTGCGCTCAAGGATCTGCACCCTCTGCTGGCCGTAGTAGTCATAGTCATCCTCCATCTCCTGTTTAATATGGATGTTGCCCATCAGGGTTTGAATTCGGACAGGGCGGGGTTGCTTCCGGCAGTGTGTGGTCTCTGGGGTGGTGGAGAGGTACCGCTCCATCTGCTGCGACCGTTCATGGATTCGGGTAATCCAGCTGGGGTCTTCTATGTGATGGTCCCTGGGGAGTCCCAGGGCTGTCTCATGGTGGCTTACCACAGCTCCACTGTAAAAGGAGCGCTCCCCACTGCCATTTTGCATGGAACAGGCATAGAGGGCTGAATAGATCCTGTCCACACTGTGCTGTGAATGGCTCTGCAGGTAGCCAGACTCTGTGTCAGTGCTCTGCCCCGAGGTGCCTGATTCAGGTGTTCCCCTGGGTGTCTCTTGGCCAGAATCCTGAATCACCGGGTAGACGTCTCCCACATTTTGTGAGACAATCCTTGTGCACTCATCAATCACAGTCTTGATCTGCAGGATGCTGGCAGCTGTGAGGATTTGGAGGGCCTCTGACTGTGAAACCCGCAGCACCCCGCTGTACATGAAGTCAATGAGCTTTTGCACAGACTGGACCGACACAACTGAGGGGATCTCGATGTCACTGTAGCCCAGCAGCAGCTTGTCCTGGAAGAAGGGGCTGCCAGCCGCCAGCACGCAGCGGTGGGCGCGCAACATGCTCCCGTGGATGCGGACCGTCACGTCACAGAAGTGGCCACGGTTGCGCTGCTCGTTGAGGGTCTCGAGCACAGAATTGCTGAAGTTGTGAAGGTTGATGCTATGAATGCGCTCTGTCATCCCCTTGCAACTGATGTTACCTGGAGCAAAGAGGCAGCAAAAGCAAACAACAAAAAATAACAGAATGAGTCTTGTCCTCTACAGGGCCACAGCGACAGCACTGCATAAGTAACTTCCCACTGTGTAAATAAAACTGATTGCACTGGAAAAAATGCACACAGAGGCATCGGTAAGAACACATCATTTTTGTAAGGCTACAAGCAAACTTCACTACTCCTTCCCAGAAACTCAAGTCCTGAATTTTTGGACAAAACTAAATGAAGACAGGTGTAGCTGGACCTAAATTCCAATCACACTCCTGAGTCTTGGACTTCCTATCAGTTTATCTGGCTTTAAAAGGCTTAGAGTCAGCCAGTTGTAAACACTGAGCACATGGATTAAAGCTGGATTTTAAGCTTTCAATTGGACCTATGCCAGAAGAGATCAGAATCTGTAAAGACCCTAAGTTGTTAATGCAAAGAGTATCTATGAAAATATGATTTCAGTCTAGATTGGTATTTTAAGGAATTTAGATCCTGTGTTTCACAGTAGAGTTACTTGTATCAAAAAAACTGGCAGTCACTTTGTAAAATCCAAATCTGGTTCAAGATTTAGGCTGTGAATGTTCCTAAAATCCCACGCAGAGTTTCCTCTGGGGTTGTGGTTTAGAACATTTGCTACCCAATAGTGACAAAGAGTTCTCTGAAAGAATCCAAAGCAAAAAGTTAACTGTCCCCTTCATTTTTAGCATATCCCAAGTTCTGACTTGCACCAGAATGCCATAATATAAAAACAAATGTTCTCCTGCTGTTATTTACTTGACAGAAACTGGAAAATTACAGACATTTACTCCAAGGAAGATTTCGTCTTAGTTTGGCTGAATAATCTAAACAGAGAACAGTTTAGAAAAGCATCTAACCAACCTGGATACAGAGCCAACATAATCTTCAAAATTTACAAGTGACTGAAAAGAAATTTCTTAATCTCCTAATCCACTGTTCCCTATATTCATCTTGCTTGCTTTGGTTTCAATGCTTTCCCATTTCCGTTCCTGTTCTTTACCAAATTTTCATCTATTTAGACTTCGACAGGCAGAAACTATGGTTTCACCTTTTAATTAATGAACAATCAATTGCCCCTTGAACGGTAAACAAATAAAATACTACTACTTTTTTCTTTAAGCGTATGTAGTACATGTGTCACCTTAGTTTCTAGAAAATTAGACAAAGTAATGCTAAATCACCACTAGTATTAGAGGCATTTTGTCCTGAATATTCCCACCAAAGATCTAACCACTCTTGCCACAACAGCTTGGTAATTTGAGAAAAATAGAAGTTGGTAAGTGTGAGTAAATTAAACTAGCTTATTGTCACGGTCTAACAAATGTACAGAGCAAATAAATAGCACTGAAAGCAGCTGAAAGGCATACACACACCTTGCCAGCAATGCTCCACCCTAAGGAGTACTTTACATCTCATCCACAGGCAGTAGAACACTACTCTGCAATTTGCAGGCAAACCCGGCATCCTCCCTGCTCTGCATTCTTCTTCCTATTTATTAACTACCAAAATCTCAAGCACCCTCTCTTCTGGTGGTTCAGAGAAACCACCTTGGACACAAGTGGTTATTTTAATCTCTGAAGTAGCTGATGGCTAAAGGGAAGCACAAAGGTCAGGAACTGGAAATCACAGTGGGGCCAACATATCTGAAGAAGACTCATGTTAACAGATGTAAACCAACCTGTAGCAGAAGGTTACTAATTTCCATGTGTGATTAGCATGCTGAGGGGATGCTCACTTAGAAGAAACAAGGAGGAAATCATTAACGCCATGATGGAGGTTGTGAAACACACCTGTCTTGTTCATAAGCTCAGTCAGGAAACATGAGCTTTTTATGCTGATGGGACTGACCATAGGACTAGAAAAACATCTTAGACATTGGAAGACTTTCCTTCAAGAGCATTGCAACTATTATTATACAAAATAATGTAGAGAAGAGCTGTATTTCCTCCTCCTTCCTGATAGAGTAATTCTCCAGAGGCCTTCAGGACAGTTCCATATGCATCCCTGTCAAACATGTCAGATCATACAAGAATCCAAAATGTATTTACTTACAAAGTCAGAATTCTTGGCAAAAGCTTTGTACTGGTGGGGCAACAGAAGGGTGGAAAATTATTGATAAATAGGTGACACCTTACTACAGGCCATAGCAAGTGACTGTACAGCTACCCATTTATCTCCATCTATTATTGATTAATATCACTGACTACCTGGTTTGCTCCTAGGACCCACTTTCATAGAAACACGTCTCTATGTTCAGTTTTGTCGAAGGAGGTATTTGATAATAAGAAGAAATATGTAGCAGTGTAACCCAATAACCCAAAAATCCTACCTTGAACATGCACAATGTAGAATATTCTACACATATCACAGATGCTACAGACAGGACACTTGATTTGAGAAAAGAAACCTACTTTCTTACTATGCTCCTTGGCAGAAAAAATTATTTTTGTGTGCAGAATTCTGAAAAATGCATCCTTAGACAACTCCTTTCCAGAAAGGTGTGACATACATCATGAGACTGGATGACTTCCTAGGGATGTGAATTCTGCCATTTACCCATAAATCATGTACAGAGCAAGGTTCATCTATAAGTTTCAACAGCCCTTCTCAGGTCCTGGCTGTGAGAATTAAGAGTTGTGTAGCCACAGTGCATTCAGTCTTTAGCTAAAGTGATGAAAACAGGACGTTGAGGTTGATCCTGGCTACAGAAAAGAGGTTTGTATGCATTTCTAAGAGTGGTGTGAACAATTCTCTATAGAAACTGATCAAGGATGCTCCTAGTGGTGTAGGATCTGGTCTGAAAGCCAACTGAGTCACTTCATAAATGGCATTATTTTTTGTTGCTAGCAGAGTTTGCCCTTGAGAAGATCATCTCGTTGGAACATCTACCACTTCTTCAACTGAGAAGCAACTGAAATTTACTCCTTGAGGATAAAAGATGAAGGGTCATTGGAAGAGATACACAATAAGTGGTTAAAAAAAAGCTGATACAGATTTTGAGGATGATTTTTCTAGGCCACATTCCTTGATATTCAACACTGTAAACTATATCTATCCAAAGTCCAGGCAACCAAATAATTTGCGTAAGTGTCAGAAACACTACGACACAAGCCATATCACAGTATAAAGAGCAGTTTTAACGAATTCCAGAGATTGATCTGTAGCAAAACCTACTGTCCAAGCAGATCCTTTCCCTCTCTGCACGAAACCAGATCCAAGTTTTGTGGTTGACCCCTGCTTTATGCTGGGGTTTATGCTTATGTTCTAAGCTGAAAGTCCAAAGGTGATGTTGCCCACAAAACACGGACTTGCCAATGAAGCTTTGTAATCTAAGTAAATGACACATTCTGACAAAGACTCCTAGAGCCTTGGACAAGCCAGAAAGTGTGTCAACTCCTCACAAGGCCCAGCTACACACACACACACACACACACACACACACACATACACTCACCTACTCATAACTGCACGGAATGCCCAGCTCAGGAAAAAGACTCCTGTCTAGGGCTCTTCTCAGGCCTGCCACTCTTTTAAACTTGAGACAGTGGGAAACTTTCTGTGAAATTCAAGTGGTTTTTGTTAAGTACTCCCTTTTTTTTTGTCCAGTAAACATGATGTAGAGATCCCAATGGACTTATTCTGAGAAACTCCAGTAAAATGCTTTTGTCCTCTTTCTGTGAAGCAAGTTCTGATTGGAAGGGTATTCACAAACCATATAGGAAAGAATAGGTGTGAAAATGCAAAGGCCATTCTTACCCAGATGGGCAATGAATAGGCATTTGCCAGTTTAAAAAATAAAAAAAGGGCAGAAAAAAATAAAGGAAAAAAGCCCAGACAACTAAACAGATTATGCACATTTGAAATCCTCCTGGGATACAATTTGAAGCTGGCATGGCATAAAGGTGAAACATATTACTTCGAAACTTGGAAAAAAGCTTAATTTGCCCGTATGCAAATGTACCGATTAAACTGTCAGGCTATTCACAGAAACATGCATGGAATTCATCCTCAACTAGTAAGAAGGAGCACAACGTGGATGGGAAAGGAAAAAACTTTTGTTGTGTAATACATGACTGAATGCTTAGATTAGTGTTTCCCTGAATCTCATCCACCCCTCCTGCTGACTTTTATGCTATGGGCATTCAAAAGAAAGTATGTTTTACCATGACAATAACAATGACAAGCTCTCCAAGTACAGTACCAAAGGCGAAGGCACTGGCAGAAGGAAACAGCAGGCAGTGGATTCCTGGAAGATGCTATAGAAAACGTGGAAGTGCAGCAGTGAGGTATATCAAGCACGGCTTGAGGCAGTTTTTTATTTACCAGAGTTACCATATACAGACCTACAAAAAGCTAGAAAGTTAAGGCTCGAAATCGTGATTTTTTTTGTTTGTCAAAACCATAAAAAATTACCCCCAGAAAATACGTGATGTAGTAGAACCAAAAAGATGTACAGAATATTGAACACTGCAGGCCATACACAAACGGCTACGTTGTACACTCGAAAATGCGTTTTGCAAGGTTTTTTTTCTGTACAGACACTAGATGTCCCTTCCTGCAAAGCCAATTGCTGAAAGTCTTCACGCTCAAAACTGAAGGATATCAGAGAATTTCATTTTCTCTAGTGTCATTTAAAATTACGGTATCTCAAAGCTCCTTGCAAAGTAACGACTACCATTTCTAGAAACACAGTGGTGATGAACCCATCACAGTTACTGCAACTCAGCAGTAGCTCAGTGCCTCAGCACAGCATTCACCTGAAGCAAAAATGCCTAGGGTGCTGGAATCCAAGCTTTTTTTGAAATTTACTGTGTGCTCTTTCACAGAATGACTAGCAGAGTGAAACCCAAAGGTTGTGTCTTGCTTTGGGAAATAGAGAATAATTGTTCTATATCCTTGAGAACTGGTGGAATTGCTGAGACAGATAAAGATTTAGTTTTTGCCTCAATCTTACGCAGGAGAATTTAGAGAATTGCCTG